GGCTGGAGTGCAGTGGTGCGATCTCAGCTCACTGCAAGCTCTGCCTCCGGGTTCACGTCTTTCTCCTGCCTCAGCCTCCCGAGTAGCTGGGACTACAGGCGCCCGCCACCATTCCCAGCTAATTTTTTGTGTTTTCAGTAGAGATAGGATTTCACTGTGTTAGCCAGGATGGCCTCGATCTCCTGACCTCATGATCCGTCCACCTCGGCCTCCCAAAATGCTGGGATTACAGGCGTGAGCCACCACGCCCAGCCTACTCTGAATTTTTATGCAACTTTTAGATAGGTCTATAAATGTGTCTTCTGAAGGAATGTCGGTAAAGTGGAAAAATTCAGCTGCTGGATAACGTGGACGCATCGTATTTCCAAACAAACAGGAAGACCCTCAAGTCCCCTCCCCAGGTCCCCCTCTAGTGAGCCTGGGTGAGGGTGAACTCCAGCTGCCTGTGGCCTGGCCAGAGGGGAGGCTTGCTGGGTGTGGGAGCTGCTTTCCACAGTGGGTGTGCTCTTCGCCCAGCAGCAATAAGCATTATTATAGTTGCCTTGGATAAAAATATCAAAAGTTAAATAAAAGCAAAAAAAAAGCTGTAATCCAGTTTTCTCCAAATAACCACCCTGTGCACCTCCTCCAAATGCTTCCTGTGTGCGAGACTGTTTGAGGACCGCTGTCTCGCGCGGACACTCTCCCATGCTCTGCAGGTTGACAGGAGTTTCCCTCTGTCTGTTCATGGCCACCTGGTAGACATGGCAGACCTGTCTCCCCACTCTGCCGCGAGTTTCCTGAGGGCAGGAGATGGGTCTCTCTCACTCTGTGGCCAGGCAGGAGGGGTGCAGACAGTAACGCCGTCTTTCTGACCCAGTGCCCCAACCTGTCAGCATGAACCACACCAGAGGTGCCCAGACATCAGAGTTTCATCAGAGTTTCACAGACAGAAATAGTTTTCCCAGAGTTTGGGTTTTTTTTCAAGGCTCAACTACCATGCATTATTATTCTTTCATTAAAAAAAAGGTCATTTTCCCAGCCTAGGCAACATAGTGAAACCCAGTCTCTACAAATAAACAAACAAATTGTACCCAGGCATGGTAGCATGTGTGTCTATAGTCCCAGCTACTCCAGAGGCTGAGGCAGGAAGGTCCCTTGAGCCCAGCAGGTCAAGGCTGCAGTGAGCCAAGATCGCACCACTGCACTCCAGCCTGGGTGACTGAGACCCCATCTCAAAAATTAATTAATTAATTAATTAATTAATTAAATCATCCAAGGGCTGGGGATGGTGGCTCACACCTGTAATCCCAACACTTTGGGAGGCAGAGGTGGGCGAGTCACGAGGTCAGGAGTTCAAGACCAGCTTGGCTAATATGGTGAAAACTGTCTCTACTAAAAATACAAAAAACTGGCATGCCCTGTAGTCCCAGCTACTTGGGAGGCTGAGGCAGGAGAATTGCTTGAACCTGGGAGGCGGAGGTTGCAGTGAGCTGAGATCGCACCACTGCACTCCAGCCCGGGTGACAGAGACAGAGCAAGACTCCATCTCAAAAAAAAAGAAAAAAGTCATTTTCCAACCAAAAAAGTAGGAAGTACATACCATTTTTGAGGGGGGCCTGCCCCTCTTTATCTGTGGATATTTCTTGTCAGATGAGACGAGAGACTGAGAAAAGAACTAAGACACAGAGACAAAGTATAGAGAAAAAACAGTGGGCCCAGGGGACCGGCACACTCAGCATGCGAGGACCTGCACTGGCGCTGGTCTCTGAGTTCCTTTAGTATTTATTGATCATTATTTTTACTATCTTGGTGAGGGGAGTGTA